TTTTCTATGGTCGTTTGCGGTCCGGTACGCTGCACATCAGCTCAACCTCTGGCCCCGTGTCTCTTTGCCGGAGACCTCGCCTACACTGCGTTGGACGGGGGAGGTTGGCGATGCGTCGGTGTTCCGGATCTGGGGCTCTCGTGCCTTTGTCCACGATTCCTCCACGGACAAGTTGTCCTCCCGCACCATTTTCTGTGTCTTCCTTGGCTTTCCCACTGACGCTCATGGCCAGCATTTTTACCACCTCACCTCGTGCCGTGTCCTGTCCTCTCAAGACGTCACGTTTGACGAGTCGGTTCCCTTTTACCATCTCTTCCCCTACCGCACTGCCCCTCTCCCCCCCCCGCCGCTCTTCCCCGCTCCAGGTCCCCCTCCGGTAGACCCCCTCCCCCCTCAGGGTCCTGCTCCTTCAGGTGTGTCTTAGGTAGACCCACTCCCCTTGGCTGAGCCATTCGAGGTCACTTCCGACACCTCTGTCCCAGCTAAGGGGGGTGACGTAGCTGCTGACGACGCGGCGGCCTCCCGCCGCTCACCATGCTTGGAGACCCGAGTGTTCCACCTCGACTGTCTTCGCCGCCTCTGCAGCTGGTTGCTTTCAACTCTGGTGCTGCTGGGGGTGGTGCTGTTAGGGGTGCTCCGTCTGGGGGTGCTGAGCTTGCGGGTGCAGTTCCTGGGGGTGCTGAGTCTGAGAGTTCTGAGCCGGTGAGTGCTGAGCCTAAGGGTGCTGAGCCTGAGGGTGCTGAGCCCAAGAGTGCGGAGCCTTGGGGTGCTGAGCCTGAGGGTGCGGAGCCTGGGGGTGCTGAGCCTAGGGGTGCCGAGCCAGAGGGTACTGAATCTAGGGGAACTGAGCCTAGGGGTACTGCGTCTGCTGGAGGTCCTACGGGTGTCTCGCCATAGCGGTCTCACCGGCTAGAGCCTCTCTCACCACGGCAGCTACGCGAGTGGTTTACTCGGCGCACCCGCCTTCGGAGTGGCGCTGCTGGAGCTGGAGGCCCTGTCGCTGGAGGCACAGACGCTGGAGGCGCTGGAGCTGGAGGCGCTAGAGCTGCTAGTTCTGGAGGTCCTGGCGGTACTGCAGGTGCTGGAGGCGCTGGAGCTGGAGGTACTGGAGGTGCTGGAGCTACAGGTCCTAGAGCTGGAGGAGCTGGTGCTGGAGGTGCTGGAGCTGGTGGTACTGCACAGCGGCAACCGTTTTTCGTTCTGCCGCCACCGTCGTCTCTGCCACGGAGTGGCTTGATGCTTCACCAGGTTCTTAGTCTCCTGTCTTCTACTGGCCTTACTCCTCCCTTACTGTGTCCACCGCCTGACCAATCGCAGCCACAGTTACAGCCAAACTCCCCGCTGCCTGCTCCTTCTCCTTACACTGAGCAGTCAGACTCTCGTACAGAGCGTCGTGAGCCTGAGTCTCGTCCTGCCTCCCCTGTTTGCGCTATTCGCGCTGGTCGTCGTGTTCCTCGATCGCGTCCTCCTCCTATCCCTGGCACTCACACTATGGCACTTCGTCCTTCCTCTATTCCTCCGCGAGTTCCCCTGCCGTCTCCTCCGGTGTCCTCTCTTCCTGACGTTCCGGACCCTGTGTCTGACTTGGTTCGTGCTGCCAGCCCTACTGTCACACGTCTCCGAGCCCTGTTGTAAGTTTCATTCCATAGTTAACTTTTACATTGTGACATGGTACAGAGCTAGGTTAACCCTAGCGGGATTTTCCCCTTAGGAAAAATCATTCCACTAAGTTATGGGCCCACCTAGTCGCGCCCCGTCCTAGAGCGCCCGTGGCGCGCTTACGCTAGGCCCCGTCGCCCGTCGCCCGTTTCCCCCCTGTCGATCGCTGCCCGTTTTTCCCGTCACCCGTCACCCGTCGCGGGAGTTCGTTAGCGGGAGTCCTGCAGCCCTTCGTTAGCGGGCATAGCGGCCTTTTGTTTGTGGGCCCCGTGGCCTTTCGTTCGTGGGCCCCGAAGCCTCTTCGTTAGCGAGCCCCACGGCCCCGTCGTTAGTCGCACGCACGCACAGCAGCAGCCGCGTTCACGAGCGACCCGTCGCCCCACCCGTTCCCCACCGTCGTAATTGCCGCCCCACCCGTTAGACGCGGCCCCACCTGCTGCCTTACCCGCCGCCACACTAGAAATCCGCCGCCCCAGGAACTGAAGTCGACCTCAACCGCCGCCAGACCTGAAACTCGTCGCGCCCTGGAAATAGCCTTCGGATGAGTCCGTAGAGCCGAGTCGCCCATATCCAAAGCTTGTGGGCTGCCTCATGTACCTGATGATCTGCACTTGACCTGACCTTGCCTACCCTCTTAGCATCCTGGCACGCTACGTTGCGCCCGGGGGACACCGACCAGAGCACTAGAAGGCCTCTAAGAGGGTGTTGCGTTACTTGTGCAGTACATCGGGCATGGGGCTCGTGCTTGGAGGACGGGGTCCAGTCGTCCTCACTGGACACTCAAACGCGTCTTGGGTTGACGACCTGGCTACGGAGCGGTCGTCACTGGGTTACACTTTCAGCCTTGGCTCCGACTCTGTTTTTTGGCGGTCTACCCGCTCGTCTTCTGTTCAAAATTCCAGTTGTGAGGCTGAGATCTACGCAGGAGCCATGGCTGCACAGGAGTTATGCTGGCTCATCTACCTGCTGACCGACTTGGAAGAGCGGCCTCGTTCTCCTCCAGTTCTGTACGTAGACAACAAGGCCATGATTGCCTTGTGTCAGGAGCACAGACTGGAGAATAGAACGAAGCATATCGCTTTGCGTTACTTCCTTGCTCGAGAGTTGCAGCAGCGTGGTCAGCTTCGTCTTGCTTACGTGGCCACACAGGGCAACACTGCTGATATATTCACCAAGGCACATCAGTCTGGTGACCATCAGCGTTTCTGTACTGCTTTAGGCCTTGTGCCTGATTTGTCACACTTGCTCACTGCGTGACTTTGCTTGTACTGTGATCTATAGATATATACATGCATGCTTACACTTGCTTGGTTATGATCACTGTACTGTTTGTTCTCTTTTATATAAATATGCATGTGAACTAGCCTTGTAGCCATATGCTTTTGCTCGGACTGTGTGGTGACTTCGTGATCCACCCTGAGATTACTTTGCTTTTTTTTTACTGGACTTGTGACCACTTGTTCTCCCCCACTTTGCCTATGGGGGTGTGTCAAAATATCATAATGCTCATGTTGTGTAGGCTGTAGTGGGGTAGCCCATAAGGGGTACGACCCAATTAGGGTTAGTACTTGTACTAAGTTTGATCTCAATGCAGTCATTCCCGTTCAGTATTATGACAGTATGTGCATGTGATCTGCGTTCATTGGAAGAGTGAATGTGCGTGGATGCATGCGCGCATGCACTTATGCTGAATGCTTGCTTGTGTTTGTCTGACCATGCTCGTATTCATATGTTTGCCTCTCTCCATCTTACCCTTACCCCATCCAGCAGAGTGACGCCATACTTGACGCCGTAGTGCGCTCATACGCGGAAGCGATCAAGAAGAAGGCGTCGAGAATAAGATGTCGGGCGCCTATACATGATTTGCATTTTTGTCTCTGCGTGCGTATTCTCCCCTCTTCGTTCCCATGCCAGGGTGGCGACATCAGGGCTGACGTTTCAGTTTTGAGGCTCCCTGACGGGAAAAAAAAAATCCGTTTTAGTCTGAAGGCACTTCACCCAAAAAACGAGCAGTCTGATTGCTCAGTCTCCAGAAGTCTCAGTGCCTGTTCACTCAGGGTTGGTGGGTTCATTTCAGGGTCGTCGGGTTAGTTGCAGCAAATTCTGTCAGATGCTTTGTACTTCACTAACAATTTCGACCCAAAGGAATGTGTCGCAATTGACTGTGTTTTGATTGGGACTTACAGTTGCAAGTGGCCGGCAAAGGCAAGTGGCGCGAGCAAAACAGTTTTTCGCGCGTGACACAATGCTCGACCTGAAGCAAGCTGACAGTGGCGCATGTGGTGTGGAGCGAGCTGAGTGGCAGCCCTGCTGGTACAGTAGCTTACAACTTTTGGGGCCAGTGGAGCGAGCTGAGTGGCAGTCCGACGCATCATAAATACACGGTCTCGCGCTCATTGGAATCTCAAAGAAACTTTTTCCCCATGGAACTTCCAGCAAACAGGAAATTTCGAGGAATCTACGTGTCGATAAACTCGCATTCAGGGACCACACAAAGTATACTCTGTAGAGTCAGACTCCACAAACGACTAACTCTGAAGCCTATTATACTGAATCAGGGGCCATAAAACAGTAAGTCTGAGGCTCTCAGTGATGAAAATTCGACTACTCTGGAAATACATTTTTCACAAACGGGATGGTCTGATTCGTCAGACTAATCAGACTAAATAGTCTGATAGCGTCAGCCCTGGACGACATGCCCGACGCTACAATGCACATGTATGCAGACGTCATTCAGGATGAGGTGTTGAAGCGAAAGGAGGCGGTATGAGTTGTTGCCTAAAGACCTGCCTGCTATATACATCTGCATGTTTCCCTCTCTATCTCTTCTGACTGCCACCATGCGTCTCATTTAAATTTGTCTGCCCAGCAAGTGTCAATCATCGACTTCTAATATCACCACCTGCATATTCCCTTATTGTATAGAATAATGTTCCAATCATAGTCGCGTGCAAGCAATAAATGAACAATATTTGTTTTTTTTGCTGCTTTGAAATATTTTTCGTAATCGATAAGAGTTTCAGTTGCATGTCTACACAAAAAGTGTTCATATTTGTAACGAGTACTAATGAGATATTGGAGTATAACTGTTTTAATAATTACTTGTCCAATGGAACCAGAACCTCACGCATCTATTCGTCTCGATTGTGAGGTGACGGCATGGTAGTTCTTGCTAGGCCGCACTAGTGTCCACCGCAGTTATCGCGAGGCAGATTCACATCTTCACCGCTCTAAGGTCGCTGCAGAGAGACGCCTTCAGATCAAAATAGTTCTCCACATTGCGAATCTGAGCTCCTTCGCCTTTCCAGATTTAACCGAAACATCCCACAGATCTCGCCGCAATGGACGCGACGGAGGACGAGATTGCGCGCATGCTGGAGGAGCGGCGCGCCAAGGAGCAGGAGCTGGTGGCGCTGGCGTTGGTGAGCTTCGACAAGGACCTGTACGGCGGCGGCGACAAGGACCGCTTCGCCGGCTACGAGATGTCGATTCCCGTCATGGAGGACGAGGAGGAGCAGGACGCCACGGAGAGGGAGGTTGCCAGGTACTATCCGTTCGCCCACCCTTTCGTCCGCCTTTTTGTCAAGCCTTTTTTTGTAACTTTGAATCTCAGCCTTTACGGGAAGATACGCCAAGTCGTGCCTGTTGTCATTTCTAGTTTTTATGCTATTATCGTTGGTTCCGTTTTTGTTCGTTGTGTCAGAGTTATATGACATAGCTACTGTAGGCTATAGTGGGGTAGCACATATGGGGTACAGTTGCCTAGGGTTTGCCTTTTGTACCCAACTTTCACTTAGTCATTTCATTCCTGTTTTCTTGATTCACATGGTATAGAGCGGGTTCCTACATGGGACCGTTCCTTCCTAAGGGCCCACCATAAGAATTTTTTTTTTAGCTGCCCGCGCACATTGCGCCCTGCCCTAAAATTTTTTTTTAGCGGCCCCTACGCTGCCCCTACGCGGCCCCTACGCCGCCTCCCACGCGCCCCCTATGCGGCCCCTGGCGGCGCCCTGACGAGGCCCCTGCCGGCGCCCTATCGCGGCCCCTGACGCGCCCCCTGGTGGCGCCCTGACGCGGCCCTGACGCGGCCTGACGCGGCCCCTGGCGGCGCCCTGACGCGGCCCTGCCGCGGCCCCTGACGCGGCCCTGACGCGACCTGCCGCGGCCCCTGCCGCGGCCCTGAAGCGGCCCCTGACGCGGCCCTGACGCGGCTCTGCCGCGGCCCTGACGCGGCCCTGACGCGGCCCTGCCGCGGCCCCCGGCAGCGCCCTGACGCGGCCCCTGACGCGGCGCCCTGACGCGGCCCCTGCCGCGGCCCTGACGCGGCCCTGCCGCGGCCCCTGACGCGGCCCTGACGCGGCCTGCTACGGCCCCTGCCGCGGCCCTGAAGCGGCCCCTGACGCGGCCCTGACGCGGCTCTGCCGCGGCCCTGACGCGGCCCTGACGCGGCCCCTGACGCGGCCCCTGCCGCGGCCCCTTCCGCGGCCCTGACGCGGCCCTGCCGCGGCCCCTGGCAGCGCCCTGACGCGGCGCCCTGACGCGGCCCTGCCGCGGCCCCTGACGCGGCCCCTGCCGCGGCCCCTGACGCGGCCCCTGACGCGGCCCCTGTCGCGGCCCCTGACGCGGCCCCGCCACCTACCTTTCCGGCCACGCCGCCTCCTCTCAGCGGCCCCGCCGCCTCCTCCCAGCGGCCCCGGACGCCGCCCTCTCAGCGGCCCCGCCGAGCCGCCCAGCAGCCTAGCCGCCCAGCAGCTGAGCCACCGAGCTGCCCAGCAGCCGAGCCGCCGAGCCGCCCAGCAGCCGAGCCGCCCAGCAGCAGAGCCGCCGAGCCGCCCAGCAGCCGAGCCGCTGAGCCGCCCAGCCGCCGAGCCGCCCAGCAGCCGAGCCGCCCAGCAGCCGAGTCGCCGAGCCGCCCTACAGCCGAGCCGCCCGAGCCGCCCTGTCCGGTAAGAGCAGCGCCTCTCTCACAGCACTGCCCTCACCCCACTGTTTGCGCTGCTAGTCTACTGCTGTCATGGCTACCCCTAGTGTCCTCGCTTTTGACGCTGAGGGTCGGGCCATTGACTTTGACGTCTGGATAGATGACCTGCAGCTTTTCTTACAGTGCGATAGGGCAGACGGCCTCTCCCTCTTTGACCTCACTTCTGGTGCCTCTCCTGCCCCCGCCTCTGATGCTGACGCAACTGTTCGCTCCCAGTGGGCCACGCGCGATGCTGCTGCACGTCTTGCTGTGCGTCGCCACCTGCCTACCTCTGAGCGTGCGCACTTTAGCTAGTACAAGAGTGCTCAGACCTTGTACGACGCTGTAGTTGCACGCTACTCCTCCCCTGCCACTGCTGCACTGATTCGCCTCATGCTACCGTACCTCTTCCCTGACCTTACTGCCTTTCCCACAGTCGCTGACCTCATTACGCACCTACGCACTAGTGACACTCGCTACCGCGCTGCGCTTCCTGCTGAGTTCTGCGCCAAGAACCCCCCCCCCCATGTACATCACCCTCTACTACATAGTCACCCGGCTCCCTGACTCCCTTCGCGTAGTCAGGGACCACTTCCTCTCAGTTTGCCCCACCACTCTCACCGTTGACCTCCTCGAGAAGTCCCTCCTAGCAGCAGAGAAGAGCATAGTAGCTGTAGGAGCCTCTCGTGGTGACCCTCGCACCCCCATCTTTGAGGGGTGTTCCCACTCCCCCCTTTTGCCCTCTGTTGCCTCTGCTGCTGCGGCCGACCTCGTTGGGCTTGAGTCGGTCGGTGCGGCGTCTACCCCTAGCGGGAGACGCCGCCCTGGCAAGGGCAAGGGGGGCAGGGGCGCTGGAGGAGCTAGCGGGGGCGGTGGAGGCGGCAGTGGAGGCGGTGGAGGAGGTGGGGGTGGCGGTGGGGGTGGTGGCGGGGGTGGAGGTGCCGGTGGCGGCAGTGGAGGCGGAGGCGGCAGCGGCAGTGGCGGAGGGAGCGGAGGTGGCGGCGGTGGAGGAGGAGGCGGCGGAGGAGGTGGAGCTGGTCGGGGTGGCGCTGCGCAGAGGGTCGGCTCCGGCGGTGGTCAGCGCCAGCAGCAGCAGCAGCACCAGCAGCGCACTCGTGACATCCCCTCCCCTCAGCAGCTCCGTGAGTGGTACACTGCACGCCAGAGGGGTGGGGGTACTGGTCCGTGCACCTACGTCCTCCGCACCGGCGACCGCGCGGGTGAGCAGTGCGGGGGTGCGCACTCCACCCAGCGCTGCTTTGGCCGCCTGACGGACGCTTGGCATCACCAGTTCCCTGAGGCCACTGAGATCCCCCGCTGGGGTGAGCTGTCTAGGGCAGGTGTGGCTGTCTTTGACCTTGACTTTGATGCTATTCTTGCTGCCATGTATACTGTGACTATTAGTGATGAGGGTGACTGTTACCGGTGTTTTCCGCCCGACCCGGGCATTGAGACTGCTGCTCTAGGTACTGGTGAGGCTGCTGCTCTAGGTGCTAGCGAGGCTGCTGCTCTAGGTGCGTCTGCTCCCTCAGGTGCTGGTGAGTCTGCTCTCTCAGGTTCTGCGTCGGCTTCGGCCTCCCACACCTTCACCCTTGACTCGGGGGCTTCTCGCTCCTTCTTTCGAGACCGCACCACACTCACGCCGCTTAGCCGGCCAGTTGCAGTCTCTCTGGCAGACCCCTCTGGGGGTCCTGTCCTTGCTCACCTCTCCACTGTCCTCCCGTGTCCGGCAGCCCCCTCTGGCACCCTGTCTGGTCTTTACCTTCCCTCGTTCTCTACGAACTTGGTGAGTGGTGCTGACCTACAGGATGCGGGGGTTCACCAGTTCACTCCTGCGAGTCGGCGGGTGACCCACTGCACGGACGCTCGGACAGGCCGACACCTGGCCACGTTTACCCGTCGGCCGGGGTCGAGCCTGTACACCCTGACCACTGCGTCTCCTCCAGTCACTGCGTCTGGTCAGGTAGCTGCGTCGGGTCAGGTGTTTGCTGCAGCGTCCAGGTCTGGTCCTGAGTCTGCCCCCTGTTCGTGTCGCCTCCTGTCTCACGAGACTCTCCTCTGGCACCACCGCCTTGGTCACCCCTCCCTGCTTCGTCTCCGAAGCATGGCCTCCCGTGTCCTTGTCTCTGGTCTTCCCCGGTCCCTCCCTCCCCTTCCTCCGGGGCCTGGCCCTACCTGCGTCCCCTGTGTTGAGGGGCGGCAGCGGGCTGCCCCTCACTCCTCCCAGTTTCCTCCGACAGAGGCCCCGCTGCAGACGCTTCACATGGACGTGTGGGGCCCGGCCCGCGTCCGTGGACAGGGTCACGAGCGCTACTTCCTGCTGGTGGTTGACGACTACTCGCGTTACACCACAGTCTTCCCCTTGCGCAGCAAGGGTGATGTCACTGAGGTGTTGATCGACTGGATCCGCGCAGCTCGTCTCCAGCTCAGGCAGAGCTTCGGCTCGGACTTTCCTGTTCAGCGTCTGCACTCTGACAGAGGTGGAGAGTTCTCCTCTGGCCTTCTGCGAGCCTACTGTCGTGCACGAGGCATCCGCCAGACCTTCACGCTTCCGGACTCTCCACAGCAAAATGGGATTGCTGAGCGCCGCATTGGCATGGTCATGGACGTCGCCCGTACGTCCATGATGCATGCGGCTGCCCCCCATTTTCTGTGGCCGTTTGCGGTTCGGTACGCGGCGCATCAGATCAACCTTCACCCCAGGGTCTCCATGCCGGAGACCTCCCCAGCTTTGCTGTGGACGGGGAAGGTTGGCGATGCGTCTGCGTTCCGTGTCTGGGGATCTCGGGCGTTTGTCCGCGACTTGTCTGCGGACAAGCTGTCCCCTCGTGCTGCTCCTTGCGTCTTCCTTGGCTTCCCCCCTGACGCGCCAGGGTGGCAGTTCTACCACCCCACCTCTCGCCGTGTCCTGTCCTCCCAGGACGTCACGTTTGACGAGTCGGTCCCCTACTACCGCCTCTTCCCCTACCGCACTCCGTCCCTCCCCCCGCCACCGCTCTTCCTTGTCCCAGGTCCCCCCCCGGTAGACCCCCTCCCCCCTCAGGGTCCTGCCCCTTCAGGTGTGTCCCAGGTAGACGCAGTCGAGCCTGTCGAGGTTACTGGTGACTCTGGTGCTGCTGAGGGTGCTGAGCCTGGGGGTGCTGACTCTGGGGGTGCTGAGCGTGTGGGTGCTACGCCTGGGGGTGCTGAGCCTGAGGGTGCTACTACTGGGGGTGCTGAGCCTGAGGGTGCTGAGCCTGGGGGTGCTACTACTGGGGGTGCTGAGCCTGGGGGTGCTGAGCCTAGGAGTGCTACGCCTGGGGGTGCTACGCCTGGAGGTGCTGAGCCTGGGGGTGCGGAGCCTGAGGGAGCTGGGCCTGCTCGTGTGGCGTCTGGCGGTGCTGAGCCTGGAGGTTCTCCGGGTGCTTCGTCTCGGCGGGAGCCACTCTCTCCACAGGAGCTGCGCGAGTGGTTTGCCCGGCGCTGGAGGCGTGCTGCTGGAGCTGGAGGTTCTTCGGCTGCTGAGGGTGCTGGTGCCGCGGGTCCCGGAGGTGCTCGTACTGGGAGTACTGGAGCTGCTGGGCCTGCGGGTACGACTGGAGCTGGAGCTGCTGAGGGTGTTGGCGCTGAGGCTACTGCTGTCGGTCCTGGAGGCGGTCCTGCTGGGGGTGCTGGAGCTGGAGGTACTGCTGGCGCTGGTGCTGCCGCTGGGGGTACTGGTGCTGTCCCTGCTGTGTCTGGAGTCGCCACACGGCCTAGGCCGTACTTCGTTCC